TCAAATAAAAAATATTCATATATATTTTCTTTCTTTTTTTGATACAGCTTTTACAATTAATTTTTAGATATATTTACTTGTGTCAAAATTAAAGTCGTTAAATATTACGGATTATTTAAGATACCGCCAGAAATGCTCTCTATCTCGCAAAAGATATTCAAGTGCTTTAATCACTATTTTAAAATCAAATTTCCGAAGCACAATTTTAGAACCAATGAGAAAAGCAGCACAAACTTTAGTGAGAATAGCAAGTTCAAACTGGTTTAGTGAAGAAGACACAAAAAAAGGGTGCCTTATACTTTTCATCCACTACGCGGACCTTCCTCTTGACTAATTACCATTTTTTGCAACAGTCGGACAACTTTGATTTTTTGGAATATTGGCCAGCTTTTGCGTCATTTTGCCCACTGTGCGCTGATAAGATAAACGTAAGTTATTTCATTGGCTTTTTATTGATAAATATTCCAGTTATCATTGTTTGGCGAAAGGCTATACAGATAACGGTTTTACCCACACACTATGTTGCATAGAAATATGTATGTATAAAATTCGCTAGCTTATGCCAACGTTATAACGAGATTGAGTTCTTGCTATAAAGAGTTTGTATGCAGATAATATATATATATTTTTTTTTTGTGGTAAAAATTTCACATTCCACACGCTTCAATTTAAGTTTTTTGCTCTAAGAAGTGAAAATTGTATGAACCGTAAGCAGCTCGTATGCCTTTACTGATAAGTTGAGGACATTTTGGTAGAACGTGTGCGTGGACATTGAAGTGGTAAAATCTACATACATAAATGTGTGTATATGAATATGGAATTGCGGGGTGCTTTACTGAATCTTACGTGGAATAGCCGTCAACAACTTATCGGTAACTTCAGTGACTCTACGGCGCGCGCAGAATTAACTACGCTATAACGAACGAAACGATCGAATTAAGCATTCGTATTCCGCTGTTCTGTAAGATTTATTGGACATTGCATTGATAAAAAGACAACAAAATAGCAGAGCTAGAAACAATTAGCGACAGTGAAAGCTCAACTTATTCTTGGGTCGTAAATTTTGGATAAGCACTACCTACATAAATAGCAGACTTCGACGAGTATGTACTCGAATTTGACAAGATTTCAGTACAAACGATACATATCGTTCGATAGAGAGTCATTGGGTAGGTTACAAAAACGTTGCATTGCAAAGAATTTATTTTGTTTTTTTTTGTGTAGAAGCAGGTGTAAGTTCGTTCACTCACGCGATTTTAATTGGTGAGCTTTACGTGGATTTCAAATTCTTGTTAAAAATTTCTAAAAAAAAAAATAATACAGAAATATTATCTTCCAAAAACGACAGGTGTCGGTAAAAACTGTGGCAATATATATGTATGTATATGTAGCATGACAGACTAATATTTTCGCCGTCCTTATCTATCAAGTTTCAATTTTCGCGCGGCGAAAGGGACGAAAAAAGATTACGTTATATGTACATACATACACACCTTACTATGTATATAGTGCAGAATAAATTATGACATAAGCACAATAAATATGAACTACAAGTAGGTAATTGCCGATAAGAGGTGATCAAAGTTGAGGAATTTCTGATCGTAAATACCCTTTGAAATATTTTGACTTGCAGACTACATTGCACTGTTGAAAATCTCACTAACTTTTTGGCAAAAATTAATTATGCCCAAACAAGTATATGACTTTAAAAAACCTGATTTTTTATTGAGCGGCCCATGACTTCTCAAACATTTTTTAATTTGTAGTTTCATTAAAATGAAAAATTATATTTGTTTTAGGTAAAGAAAAAAATGCCACTTAGTTACAAAAAAAAAAACTATTTATTCAGTGGCTATTATTGAAAAATTTTACCAAATTGCTCAAAAAAATACCAATTATAGATCTTAAAAGTGCGTACTTTTTTCTTTATTTGCTATTTTTTTGTTAATTTTTGTTTTTTTTTAATAATTATTAACACAAATATGATTGTTTGAAAATAGCGAAAAAAAAACAGAAACAAAATAGAGTCAAATTTTTCACTCACAGACAACGGACTTTCGACCACTTGCTAAGCGCTGTCGTTCGTTTTTGATAAAAACAAAAGAAACAGTTGTTTGATTTGAAGCTTTCTTGATCAAATAATAACAGTAATAACATTGCCTGCCGAAGAGTGACCGCCGGTAGAAAAAACTGTTACTAATTTAGATGTGTCGCGGACCAGCGATCGAACCCAGGTCCTACGGGGTGGTATGGTAGTACGCACCTGTAACCACTCAGCCACAGTGGCCGTCAAATATGTACCAAGGACAATAAGTGTACGGAAAATTACTTTTTGCCACAAAAGCTGATCAAATTTCCTATAGT